AATGCAATAAAATATGCCTGTGTTATAAAATAGTATCTTCAAAGTTTTTTTTTATTCTACATCTATTCTAGCACTCCACAAAAATGAGCATAACTCTCTTAAAACTGAAGCTATTGACTTCAAACCGGTATCAAATTAAAGCTTTTATTGCCACCTTTCAAATAAGAAATGAAATAGATTTTGGTTTTATATAAAATTTCAGAGTTTTTCAACAAATATCGAAAAATCATGAAAATTTGACGTTTATAATTCTTGTTCGGACCACCCTATAGTTTATTTAAAAAGCTAATCATAGGGTATTTATCAGAAATAAAAGAACAATTAAAATAAATTTTTTTTGTAAATTTTTCGAACAATTTTTTTTTTTTTGACTTTTGTTGAAAATTTGACCCAACAATTTTTTTCGGTGTAAATTTTTTTTTCACTTATTCTGTTTGGGATTTCATGCTGACCAATCTGTAGAAGTTTCTCATCGATACAATTAAAATTACAGTTTAGGCAATATGATTTCCAAAAAATTCCTGTTTCGCAACACTGTGCGGCGGTTGCTTGGTTGGGAGTAAATTGACAAATTCAACGGAAATCGCACACGGAAATGGTTGAGGCTGAAACAAGTGCTTCTTGAGTGTATGCACATGGTATTAGTTTAACAGAAAACTTGCTAATAAACTAATAAAAGGTTAAAGAATAACACTTAGAAAAATACCAATGCAAGAACGAAAGTAAATGTGAGTACGTACATTGATAAAGAAAAGGATAAAAGCAAAGGTAAAAATAGAAACGAAAACAAAGATGCGTAAAGATAAAGGCAAAAATGAGGACTAGGGTAAATTTAAACCCTTTACTTTTATATGTATATAATGGCAAAGGTGAAGGGGAATATGTAGATGAAGAAAATGATAAACATAAAAGTAAAAACATAGATAAATATAAAGAAAAAGATGAGGATGAGGATGAGGATACCGATAAAAGTAAAGATTAAGATAGAGGAAGAAAAATTAAAATAAAGGTAATCATAGAGAAATAGACAGATAGAGGATATAGACAGAAACACAGACTCAATCTAGGAACTATTTTGGTATTTTAGAGATTCTCGGAATGCTCGGGACTTATCGATATTTTGATCGGTTTTGTTATCGATATTTTTATGAATTTGGTTACGATATTTTTTAATTTTTGTTACCGATTTTATTATCGCTTATTTATCGAATTTGTTATCAATATATTTTTATCGGTTTTGTTATCGATATTCTTATCAATTTTTTAATCGATATTTTAATCGATTTTACTACCAGCATTATTATCGATTTTTCTATCGAAATTTTTATCGAATTCGTCATCGATTTTCTTATCGATTTTGCGATGGATTATTTAAAGACTTTCTTATCGATCTTGTCATCGTTTATATATCGATATAGGGTAATTAAACGCTAGTTTTTCTTAGAAGGTAGGGCAATCGACAGAGCTACTCATAAAGTTTTCAACAACAGAGCAATCGACAAAATCAAATTTGGGATATAGGGACTTTAAAGCGAAAAGCAGACAACGAGATTCATATGGTGGCTTAGTTAGGTTAACTAAAGTTCAGTGAGCAAAGAACAGTTTTGATGTAAACTTTTTGAATTCGTTCTATTCGGCTTATATTCGAGGCAATATATGCTCTTCAAATAAAATAAGCATAGTCAAGCCTAGATTTGCTAGCGTAGTGTATAGCGACTTCAGTGTATACGGGCCCGAAAGCGCAGAGCTGTTACGCCGGAGAAGCTGAGTTCCGAATCAAAGTAGGTAAACACCCAAGTCCTTAACCTCGGTAACATATATGAGGGAAACCCCTGGAGGAGTAAGACATTTGTTAACATTCCAGTTAAAACGATTGCGAGCGCACCAAAATACAAGATTATCGAGTTCTGACTGAAGAACAAAGGAGTCTTGCAGGTTTTTGATTCTTGATTATATTTTAAGATCATCTGTATATAGCAGAAATTTAGAAGTTGGGAAACATGAGTCGAAAGATGCTTATATGTATGTGTACGCCAAGTTCTAGACCTCTAATAAATAATGTCTTATGACCCGCAGTATCATAGCAGACATGGGTGTATAAAAAAGAAAAAAAGCAGGAGACGGTGTAAAACTATCCAGACATACAAACTTGGGAGACACAAAACGTTGCACAGTGTTTCAAAATTGGCATTTTGTGTTCACAATTCACTGAAGCTTTAATTTTTCATTCAATTTGAAAATTTTTTTTTTTAATGAAAGCTAATAAAATTAGCAAGAGAACAGTTGAGCTCGATTTTTGAATTTTTTTTGTTTGTATTAAATCTTTTAGTGCAAATTGCAGAAAAAGTAGCAATTTTGGAGAAAGTCGATTCTCCTGTTCCAGTTAATACATCTCACACACTAAAAACTAGTTGAAAACAATTAGGGTTAACCCAAACAAAAAAGAAGTTTCACAAGAAAAATTTTCAAATGATATAAAAAAAAATCATCAAAATTAAAAAAATTAGTTTTTAGAAAAATTATGAGTATGCAGTTTTATGGACCATTAAATTTTAGTATTATAAAGTGCAAGTTGCAAGTGGCTAAGAGGTCGCGTTGATTTTTAATAATTTTTTTTTTTAATTTTGAGCACAGCCGCATGCTCAATGGGAAGTAAGAGCGTATGTTATATTATTAAAAATCAACGCGAGCTCTTAGCCACTTGCACTTTATTTTGTTAAAATTTAGTGAGCTATATGGCTGCATGCCCAAAATATTTATAAAAACCAAAAAATTTATAAATTTTGCTGAATATTTTTTTATAACATTTAATTTTTTTTTTTTTAATTTTTTTCGTTTAATTGTTTTCAACTAGTTTTAATTATGCAACATTTATTAACTGGAACAGAAGAATCAATTTTCTTCAAAGTTGCTACTTTTTCAACTTTTTCCGAGGTCATTGTAAGTATCAATTTTGAGTGCACAGGTGTGCTCGGTTGTAATCAATCGACAGATGGCGCAGGTCAAAAAACAAATTTTTCGTGGAAATGGTAAGAATTCTTGAAAATCAATATTTTTTTAACGGATAACTCTTTTTCTCTTCAATAATAATACACAAATTGTTTATTTTACCAGGTTTTGATGCTAACGATTTTTATGGTTGTTAAAGGGACCAAAGAAAATAGTTGTTATCATAAAAAATGGTTAAATAAACGATTGGTTATTATTATGGGAAGTCTCCTGAAGATTTCTCTTTGAGTTTTCCAATCGAAAAATATTGATTTTAAAGAATTCTTGCCATTTCCACGAAAAATTTGTTTTTTGACCTGCGCCATCTGTCGATTGATTACAACCGAGCACACTTGTGCACTCAAAATTGATACTTACAATGACCTCGGAAAAAGTTGAAAAAGTAGCAACTTTGAAGAAAATTGATTCTTCTGTTCCAGTTAATAAATGTTGCATAATTAAAACTAGTTGAAAACAATTAAACGAAAAAAATTAAAAAAAAAAAAAATTGGTTTTCTCCCATATAAAACACATGGAAGATTTTGAGCGTTTTGAGCGACTACTAAAATTTTTAGATTTCAAAAAAAATAAAGCATTAAAATTCCGAATTTACTTTTTTGGATCACCCTAGTGGGCATGTAAATAAGTGGTTAGTGTCATCGAAGCATCTTATTCAAATTTAATAGTTTAACCTAGTGCATTGCACAGCGTTTGGTACGTGAGTAGGAATCTGACGCTGCACGATTAAGGGACTTTTTTGCCGCCGATGTATAGAATTACTTTTTTGACATAAAAGTTCACCCCATTCCTTAAAGCTCAGTTAGTCTAGACTCAACTTAATCCAACTTACCATATTAATAAATCGGCAATGATTAGATACTCAACACATCAACTTAAGGCAAGCGCGAAAGTATTTTATTTTTAGTCCGGTCAATTTAGACATTTGAGGTTACAAAAATTCCCACCCAGCTGAAAATTGGTAGATATGTTCAAAACACTATTATAAATGAAATCTAAAAAGTCCTAATCGATCTGGTACCTGGAAAAAAGTTACTCGGGGTCAAAGGTCACAAAAACGGGTTTTTCGCGATTTTCAGCATAAAATTAGTTTAGACAAAAATTGTAGATTTATTCGAGCGGTTTTCGAGCATTTTGGTAATAAAAAAACTTGGCAAATTTTTTCAACAATTTTTTGCTCAATATTTTTTGAACTTATATAAAATTTGTACACGATAATATTTCTATTACTCCAAAGAACCTATATCCCGAAAATGAAAGTTTAACCTGCAAATCGTAAGTTGCTAGAGCACTTTAAATGCTCAAAATTGACCCCAAAATAAGCCAATATTTACCGTTGGTTACTTACAAAAATGAATCTTTCGATAGGTTTGGAATTTTGTCTTTGAAACGCCATACTTTTCTTTCAAATCGCTTCATTAAGTTTTCGTAAAACTCTAAAAATTACAACTACAACATTTCAGCATAGCCTCCATATCGAAACGTAAGACGTATTCTACGTCAAAAGCACATTTCATAAAATCTAAATTAATCTCTCTGAGATTTTTTCGCTCAACACTCCTTGGATTTCAATCTCCCTGCAATAATTGCGCAAATTTGTCTTCCGCAGCTGAGGCTTTCACCTTAAATATGAGGATAAAAAACAAGTCTTCCACATGAATATAGAAAAGAAATGCTTAAGAAGAAAAAAAATAAACTCACGATGAAGAGATTTTAATACATTAAAAAAAATATAAATTTATTCATTAACTTGTGCAATCAATCAACAATTTTTCACGGCTAGTTTCGCATTAGAAA